AGCTTGACTAGTTATTTCAAATGTTCTAATTACTTGAGGAAGTAAGAGATAAGTAAATAGGTACATTTACTGTCCAATTGGATATTTCAGGAAGACTTTTACGAAAAAGTCAGCATATTTATGATCTCAAATTGTGCAAAGTTACATTTATCTTCAAACAATTAATGTGACCGAGGAGTACTTACTTTATACATGTGATTGCTTCTATGCATTTGGATTTTATTTTTATGATATTGACTTGAAGTAAATGAAAGACATGGTTCTTTTAGTCATGTTTTCTATGAAATGCGATTACTTCAAAAGCGTATTAGCTTTTGAGATCAAGCACTTGTGTAAGCTTGGAAAGGATTATTTTCTAGCAGTTAAATTGCATAAGTTTGCTAAATGGAGCAATAAAAAGTATTGCACAAAAATGATTAGTGATATATAAGCTATGAGATCATGTTAAACATATAATAGCTCCTCCACAAAGACGTTTGCCAATCTGATGAATCATTCCAGTTATGCATAACTCCTTTACAGCATTCTATGTACTGTTCTATACATAATTTATTATCGTAAGATCATAGAGAGGATCATACTAAAAATCAGTAAAAAATTATGCACAGTTTTACCATTTTATGATTGTATTCGTGACTTTATATCAGACTATATTCGTTTTCTGTTTTTATTAACCACCATTCATCTGCTCAAAAAACCTCTAAGAAAGTGCAAACTATATAGTTATAGTAATTCACAGAACAAACTGATAATATCAATTAAAGTTTACCTCACCGCTAATATGAAGATTTTGTAAACCCTGTGTTTACTCTCTAATACAACTTTCAATTATGTCTACTTATTTATAATTATTTGGACACACCACTTAAAATTTGCTGAGATTAAAGTACATTTGGAATAATCTAGCTTATCCGTTAATAATTTGACAACTATAGTTTTGAATGAAGAGCGCATTTAATATTACGAGTGTTTGAATTACGAACGAGGTATCTATGTAGGTGCATGAAAAAAAAACTTATGAATCTGTAGTTATCAGTCTAAAGAGGGAAGCCTTGAGCTCTGTCAGTTAATTATTAGTTTACTATTCAATATTGTTCGCACAGCAGTTGAGTCAAATAAAGGTGCAGCGAGATTTATGCCAGAAAAAAAGAACGAATTTGTAATCCTTTTGTTGCAATTCATCATTTGTAATAATAGTTTGTGGTCATGATGATTAAAAATCCCCACTATTACGTGCGACGCTATAATCGTACAATCGTTTTCACAATATAAGCAATTATTTTTGAAAAGCATGCATTTTTTCAAGTTATTGTAGTTCTTTGCTTTGATTCAGATACACCTCAATCTATTTATAAAATCCTTCAGCATTAGAATTTGGCCTTATCTTCAAATA